AGTCTTTGTAATAGATAGGTTTTGGATGTATATATAAAACTCGAAAGAAATTATCTTGCAACTCTCGCTTGCGCCAAACTCTAGCAATCAAAGCTCTGTGCCAACCTCCCGGGTCGAGCACCAAATAAATCTCCCAAGGCAGCGCGCCGGCCTCTTGGGCCGAGCATCTGTCACATTTGCGAGCAAACCACTAAGTTGTCACAGACCATCAGGCTAAGGTATCAACAAACTCCATAAAACTGCTTCCCGTCGTGCCGACCTCCTGGGTCGAGCATCAAATTTTACAGGCAGCCAGGCCGACTTTCGGAGTCGGGCGTCGAGATTTCTAGGGTAATCCCGCCGACCTCCCGGGCCGAACGAAACTGATCAATCAAGGTGATGTGCCGGCCTTTTGGGTCGAGCACCCTCCAAACTGACAACCGCCCAATTCAAACCAACTCACCAAAGCGACGTGCCGACCTCTGGGGCCAAACACCAGACTCTAAACTTTTGAGCCTTGCCAGCCTCCTGGACCGAGCGTCAAGCTCTCCCCCTAACAGCTAAATTGTCAGGGACAACAAGTTAAGGCGTTATCAGATTGGGGCAGAACCAATTTGACCTAAAAGTTTTAGGCCGTGCCGATTTCTTGGGGTCAAGCATCCATTCTCAAACTTTAAAGGCACTCCATCCATTACCAATTTGCCATGCGCTGGCCTCCTGGGTCGAACACCATACTTTCAAGGCAGCCATGCCGACCTCTAGGGTCGAGCATCTACTTTCAAACCCAAAAGTTTTAGGCCGTGCCGACCTCTTGGGGTCGAGTATCCATTTTTAAACTTTAAAGGCACTCCATCCATTACCAATTTGCCATGCGTCGGCCTCCTGGGTCGAACACCATACTTTTAAGGCAGCCATGCCGACCTCCTGGGTCGAGCATCCACTTTCAGACCTAAAAGTTTTAGGCCGTGCTGACCTCTTGGGGTCGAGTATCCATTCTCAAACTTTAAAGGCACTCCATCCATTACCAATTTGCCCCAACCCCCCACTAGGACACTTAGCATTGTCTGAGTGTGCTAGTGTAGGATTTAAATTTCAAAATTAAAAGGCATTAATAACGATGAACTAAAAACTTGAAAGTCGAACATTTATTTAATGATGAACTTGTATGCGGATTCCGAAGAACAGACAGTAAGACATCCTGGCCTAATCTACCCTACGAACAATCGCAGATTCGAGAAGTGCCAAGTGCGGGGTACCTCTGCTCCATCCAATTTCGCGAGCTTGCAGTAACCAGCTCGGCTCGGTTCCACGACCTTGTACGGCCCCTCCCAATTAGGGTCGAGCTTGTTGGAGCTATGAGCTCTACTGACCGAGTTCTTCCTTAAGACTAGGTCTCCCGGCTGGTATTGTATGTTCCTCACTTTGGCGTTATGATAGCGGGCGAGCTGGCTTTTGTACTTAGCCATCCGTATCGCCGCTTCCTCACGCTTGGCTTCCAGCATGTCCAAGTTACACCTCAGCTCTTCCTCGTTGGCCGATGCAACGAAGTTCTGTGTCCGAGGCGAGGGGAGATCGATCTTCGCGGGCACCACCGCCTCTACCCCATAAGTCAGGGAGAATGGGGTCTCGTGGGTAGCTGTCCTGGGCGTAGTGCGGTAAGTCCAGAGGACACTAGGGAGTTCCTCTAACCAGTTAGACTGGGTTAGTTCCAACCTAGTTTTTAGTCCTTGCAGAATGGTTCGGTTAGCATTTTCCACCTGGCCGTTGGCTTGGGGGTGGCCGACCGATGTGAAGTGCTGGTTGATCCCGAACTCGGCGCACCAGCTCTTAAAGGGATTTTCGGGGAACTGGCGCCCATTGTCAGATATCAAGACGCGGGATCCCGAAGCGGCAGACTATGTTCTTCCAGAGGAATTTCTGAACAGCCTTTCCAGAGATAGTGGCCAGAGGCTCCGCTTCCATCCATTTTGTGAAATAGTCGATAGCCACCACGAGGTGTTCGTATCTCCCTGGGGCTCGGGTGAAAGGCCCCAGGAGGTCTATCCCTTACTGAGCAAAAGGCCAAGGGCTATGGATGGGGACCATTTCCCGAGCTGGCTGGTGGAGCAGTGGGGCGTGCACCTGGCAAGCTCGGCATCTCCGAACCAGTGCTGCGGCATCTTGGAACACCGAGGGCCAATAGTAGCTCAGGAGAAGGCACTTTTTAGCCAATACCCGGGATCCCACATGTGCCACGCATAAACCCTCGTGAATTTCATGGAGGACGTAGTCCTCCTCCTCAGGAGTCACGCACTTTAGCCAGGGAGACAGATACGACCTCCTGTAGAGGGTTCCCCCAGCGTAGGCGTACTTGGCAACTCTGAGCTGGAGTCGACGAGTCTCGATTTTATCCTTGGAGAGGACGCCCGAGTTGAGGAAATCTAAGAGAGGAGCCATCCAAGTGGCCGACCTGGTCGATGCTTTTGTGCTTGACCAACTCTACCAAGACTTCCTTGTTCAGATGCGCAAACGAGGAGGACGCCAGTTTGGACAGGGCGTCCGCACGCTTGTTCTGGGACCTCGGCACCCGCTCGATTTCGAAGACATCAAACAGGCTTATTGCCTCCCGCACCTTGGCCAAGTTTTTTTTCATGATGTCCTCCTTGACCTCGTACTCCCCGCGGATCTGGTGGACTACGAGTTGGGAATCACTCCGGACTTTGATTGGGCTATACCCATCTGGTGGGCTATCCGCAATCCTGTCAACAGGGCCTCGTACTCAGCCTCATCGTTGGATGCCGGGAAGTCGAATCTGAGCGCGTAGATCATCTCTTCCCCGGTGGGCGAGATGAGCAGTAGGCCGGCTCCGCTTCCTTCTTTACTCGAGGCCCCGTCTACGAATAGCACCCATGGCTGTTCCGGCTGTATGTCCGTGGGCAATGAACTCGGCTCGGTCAGGGTCAAGCTAGCCCCCTCAGCAAGGAAGTCTGCCAAGGCCTGAGTCTTGATAGCGGTGCGAGACTGATAGCCGATGTCGTGCTCGGCCAGCTCGACGGCCCACTTGATCATCCTACCCGAGACCTCGGGTTTTGTAAGTATCTGCCGTAGGGGCTGATTGGTCATGACGACAATGCTGTAGGTCTGGAAGTAAGGCCGGAGCTTACGAGCCACGTGCACCAAGGTTAGGACCAACTTTTCGGCTGGTGAGTACCGCGCCTCCGGCCCTTGTAAAGCACGGCTAACATAATATATTGGCCTCTGAACCCTCCTGTCTTCCCGTACCAGAACCGCACTGACGATCTCGTTGTAGGCGGACAAGTACAAGAACAAGGTCTCCCCCTGTTCCGGGGCGGTCAAGGTGGGCAGTTCTGCCAGATACGCTTTCAGATCAGTAAAGACTTTCTGACAATGCTCAGTCCATCGAAAGTCCTTAGGAGCCTTCAGAATTCAAAAGAAGGGTAGCCCCCTCACCGCGGAACGCGAGAGGAATCTACTCAGGGCGGCCATCCTCCCTGTGAGCCGCTAAACCTCATTTACGTTCCTCGGAGGGGCCATGTCCATGATAGCCTGGAACTTATTCGGGTTGGCCCGGATCCCCTCCTGGGACACCAAGAAACCCAGGAACCTTCCCGACCTGACCCTGAAGGTGCATTTCTTCGGGTTCAGTCGCATCCGGCTCTCCCATAGGATGTTCAAGATTTCCCTCAGGTCGGGGATGAGCCGCTGGTCAGTTCGACTTTTGACGATCATGTCGTCCACGTAGACCTCCATGCTCCTGCCGATCTGATTTTGGAATAATTTGTTAACCAGGCGCTGGTAGGTAGCTCCAGCATTTTTCAGCCCGAACGGCATGGTCCGGTAGCAGTAAGTTCCTTCCTCAGTGATGAAGGAAGTTTTCTCCCGATCTTCCTCGACCATTTCTATCTGGCGGTATCCCTTGAAGGCATCCAAGAAACACAAAACGTCAAAACCCACAGTAGAGTCCACTAACCTGTCGATCCTTGGCAGGGGAAAACAGTCCTTTGGGCAGGCCTTGTTGAGATCTGTGAAGTTCACGCACGTCCTCCACGACTGGTCCTCCTTCCTCACCAGGACGGGATTGGCCAACCAGGTCGGGTAATGTACCTCCAGGATGATTTTGGACTCCAGCAACTTGTCAACCTCCTTCTTGATCACCTCGTTCCTCTCTGGGGTGAAACTCCTTTTCTTCTGTTTCACCGGCTTGAAGCGAGGATCCACGTTGAGGTGGTGGACTGCCAGGTCGGTTGAAATTCCGGGCATGTCCTCAACCGTCCATGCGAAGATCTGGGAGTATTCCCTGAACAGGGCCTTCAAACCCTCCTTCTCCTCGGAAGGTAGAGACGCGCCGATGCGGAGGACCCGGTCGGGCCTGTCCTCTCTCAAGGGGAACTCCTCGACCTTGTCCTGGCTGCTCAGCTGTCGAGCCTCCTTCCCTGGAATGTAGGGCTCCAAGCAGGTCGTCTGAGCGACCACCTTCTCCTGTCCCCGAAGCACGGTCAGGTAGCAAGCTCTGGCCACCTCTGGATCACCGTGCACCTCGGCTATTCCTCCCGGAGCGGGGAATTTGACGCTGAGGTGGAGCGTAGAGGGAATAGCTCGGAGGGCATTCAGAACAGGCCGACCCAGGAACACGTTATACGGGGACTATTGCTTGACCACCACGAAATTGACAGGGATGGTTCAGCATTTGGGGGCCTGCCCTACCGTGACCATCAGGGTGATCATTCCCTCCGGGTTGATAGGCGGTCCGGTGAAGCCCACCAGGGGTATCCGAACCGGGGTCAGCTGTCCGTCCTCCAAGCCGAGCTCCTTGAACACCCGATAAAACATAATGTCGACCGCACTCCTTTGGTCGACGTACACCTTTTTCACCCTATAGATGTTGGTTACAACATCTATCACGATGGATTCATGGTTCCCGGACGCTAGGAAAACCGCGTCCCTTGGTCCTAAGGTGATCTCCTCGTCCATGCGCTGGCGTTTCAGGGAATCGTCCCCCTCGGGGGGAGGTCGCCTGTTCTTCAAAGCTGTGTGGCTGTACCCCCTGTGGGGCCCCTAGCGATGGTGTTTATTACCCCCGCTAGGTTCAGGGTGTCCTGGTCGGGGGAGTGGCCCCGAAGCACGTCACGCCGCCCAGGGCGATCGCGACGCTGGCCCTCGCCCCTGTCTCCGCGGTAGGTGCGTCCCGGCTCCTGGTCCGGTAGACCTTGCCGCACAAATCGTCTCAGGAAGCCGCGCTGGATCAAGTCCTTGATCTCCTTCCGCAAGACCCAGCATCCCTCCGTATCATGCCCATCACGGTGAAAGGCACAGTATCGGTCCTGATTCCTTTTTTTCCGAAGTGTCCCCATCTTAGGCGGCCGTCCTCCTAGGCCTTCTGCCTCCATGAGGGCCAGGATTTGGGCCCTGGGCCGAGTCAGGGGGGTATACCCCTTTTCCGGAAGCAGCGGTTGAGCGGGGGCTTTCTCCTTGGAGAGGCGGTCAAAAACGTTCTTCTTGGCTGGGCCGTCCTTGCTTTCAGGGGGGTTCCCCCGTCCTCTCCGATCTCCAATCTCCCGATCCGATTTCCTCTTCAGGCGTGCAGCCTTTTTTGCGTTAGCAGTTGCGTGCGCCCGGGTCAAGAGTTCTTCCAAGTCTCCTGGGGGCTTCTCGGACAACTTGTAGAAGAGCTCCTCTGCCCTGATCCCGTTCATGAAGGCGGCCATGACCACCTTTTCATCTTTGTCCCTGATCTGCAAGCTCTCCGTGTTGAAGCGGGTCATGAAATTCCTCAGTGACTCGTCCGGCTTCTGCCTGATCACCATCAGATGAGTCGCATTCTTCGAGTAGGTCTTCGAAGAGACGAATTGGGCGACGAACTGTCTGGCCAGTTCGGGGAAACTTCGAATGGACCCCGATGCCAAACCCTGGAACCAGAGCCGAGCCTTCCCCTTCAGAAACATGGGGAAGGTCTTGCAGTGAATTTCGTCCGCGACTGTTTGCAGGCGCATGTGCGTCAGGAAGACTGAGAGGTGGTCCTCCGGGTCGGTTGAGGCGTCATACAGAGGACCAAGAGGAGCAAGTCCCATATGATAAGTCGCGCTTCACCTCCGCCGAAAATGAAGCATGGTATAATTCTAGGAGGGGAGCTAAGGTATTGGTGGAGAAAGATGTCACTCCAGATGTTAAGGAGGTCTACCATCTCAAGGCATCCTTTGCTAAATTGGGATGAGAAAACTTGTTTAACATCCCAAACTTCTATTATGAGGAGCTTGTCCGAGAATTTATGCAAATTTGGAGGACAAGAAGGTTTTTCACTACGCCATGGAAGTGATTACCAGTACAGTGCGAGGGAGAAAAGTTCGAGTGCATAGAACTGATTTGAAGCGCTATTTTCATGTTTCAGATGTGGGGTATAAGGTAGATTTGAAGAAAGCTTTCAAACCCAGTGATTTGGACTCTTGGAACATGCTAGAGGCACTTGTACGCTTGGGGGTTGGGTACAAGGCTACTCGGAAGACTGTACGATATTCAGTATTGACTTCATCATTTCCAGAGTCGCAACGTCTTCTTATTTACCTGTTTGCCTCCAACATTATTCCGAGGGCAAGTAGAACCAATGAGGCGCGCACAAGTGACATCTATTTCTTGGATAAAATGGAGCATGGTCTAGGCAACATCCAAGGCATTCCATTGGGAAGCATTATCACCAACCACATGTGGACAGTGGTTCGCAGTAACGACATTAAACATGCTTTCTCATATCCTCGCTTCTTGACCTTGGAGTTTCAAAGGGCTAGAGTGGATTTTTCTAACGCTATCCCTATAGGTTTTAAGAAGAAGGATGTCTTTACACTGGATTTTTGCAAGTTTATTTTGAAGAGTAAAGACGTAGGTGGTCCTTCGACCCAAGGAGGTGCTCAGAGAGACATTAGGCACGAGGAGGAAGCTGAAATTGAATGAATTGAAGAGGCTCAAGGGGTTGAGACAACCACCCCACCGGTCTCAACTGAGCTGTCTTCCTCACGTCGTCCATCCTCACCTTAAGACACTCAGTCGATTCTGAAGAAGATAATGGATAAACTGCTTTGCGTCGAGACTGAGATGAAGAAAAGTCGACAAGAGAACAAACGGAACTCCGAGAGTCTTCGTCGCATTGAGACCAAGCTAGATATTGAAGCTCCTCCAACTCTACCTTCTTCACCTGACCAAGCGACTACTTGAAAGAGTGCTCGTCACCACGTAAAACTCATTTTAAACCATAAAAATGTGCTTTTCTCAACTGAATGCAATTAGAATCATGAAATCATGCATCAATATAACATTAGCATTAATCACTTTACATGCATGATTTGGATCAAATAAACAAGAAAACTCCCTTTTTGCTTCCTTATAAGCGCTTTTGCACTTGAAACAATTTGCATGAACCCTTGCTATTGCCACCTATAAAACACACAAAAAACACTAATTAAACAACTAAAACTTACAAAAAATAAGCAATCGTTGGGTTGCCTCCCAACAAGTGCTTCTTTATAGTCATTAGTTTGACTATATTACCTCATTTTTCAAGGAGGTTTAGTTAACGAGTAATCCACTATTTTAGGTCGTGATGGATCATTAAAAGGTGGCTTTATAGCAAAAGCCACATGTTCTAATGATAAGAGAAATGGAAGTGGCTTACCTATCTCAAGTGATTCATAAAAATTACCTTGAATGTGTATCACTTGAAAACTTACCAAAGAAAATGTCATGAAAATATCCTGGGTAGCAATACGCTTAGAACCTATACTTTTAATGCACTCCTCAAGAAGGGTGAAAAATGAGTCATTAAAACTCATCTCTTGAGGAACAAAGTTAGTTCCAAAAATATTATCATGTGAAATGGATATTTGCTCATTAAAACACACTTAAGATTCATCATTTTCATCAAAATGCAACCCATTTTCACATACAACATTCCCATCATTCATGCTAGGATCATTTTGTAAATTATTAGAGGAAATAACTTCATACAATGCATTCAATTGCTCATGTATTCTACTACAATGAGAAGTTAATTCATCTATTCTTTCTTCAATCCTATCAAAACGATCGGAAGTTGCATTTGTTAACTTTTCTATTGCTAAATCAAATTGATTAGAAAAATTTTCTACAGCTTGCTCCGAAAATGCATTAGAATCATTAGCTAATGGTTCACTTTCTAACTCCCAAGGTAGAGGTACATTAGCTAACTTCTCTATTGCCAACTCTCAAGATGGTTTTAATTCATATTGGATATTTTCAGGTTGATAATCATAAAAATATGAATAATCATTATAAGTACATTGATTATCCCAACCATAACCAGGAGAATTGCTCCAATTAGCACTATATCTATCAAAACAGGGATTGTAATGCTCTAATTCATCATAATAATCCATATTTTGTACTTGCATACATATATCAGTAGCATGATAACTTCCATATAAGTCACAAATCACATGATAAGAATTAAAACCATTGACATTCCTTCCTTGCTCAATTTTATGCATAATTGTGTCCATTTGAACTTTAATATCATAGCATCAAATTTAGTCTTTAAGCATCTTAAACCATCTTCAAAAGACATACATTCAGCAAATTCTTGGTTACCTCTGTTGAAGGAGCTTTGCACTTGGTAACCATCCATTGCCAAACTTCCATTTCTCAAGCATTATCCTCTAAATTGACCTACCCTCCTCATTACCTAAAATTGCTTTTAAACAATTTAAGAGCAAAATTAGTAAGAACAATAGGTGATAAAACACATACACTCATAAAACACTAAAATAACAGAAAATATCATTCACACTATAGCCAATAAAATGTCTAAACTAATAAAGTTGTTCTTCACACCGATATTGCCAAATCTTCCCAGGCAACGGCGCTAAAAACTTTGTGGCGGCCCCACTTTTCCCTAAGGCGAACCAGAGGGTTGGCGGGTCGCTTGCCCAACTCTCGCCAGGACTCACGCAAGCAAACCGACCAATAATCCATGTATAACTTAAATTAATACATAATTCATCCTCCGAACATGCCAAACTTTTTAACGACTGGAATACTAAAACACATTAACTTCAGAGATAACATTACCATTAAACATCCAAACGTTCACTCTTAAGTACATCTCCGACTAGTTCAACACAAACAACAAATATACATTACAAACCACACAGTAAGTTCATAAAGCTCAGATAAATTCACACAGGCCAAATCTTAGGGTTTGCACTTTTCCAGTTTCAAGTGACAACCCAAAAACAAAGATACAAAGACGATTCGAAACAACATTTACAACAGCTAAAAGCAGACTTCAAAACATCCGAATGCTGAAACCTGTTAAGGAAAACAATATCGTGTGGTGAGCTAAAACTCAGTGGTGCCCAAAACATGCATTCATATAAACAAATAGCAAATAATCATTTCAAACTTAAATTCACAAATAAGAAAGCGTATAACAGCACAAGGTAGGATACAGGGGCTCTCAGGAGCCATTTTCCCCGCACTTGATCAAAATGAACCGTAGTTGACCCTCCGTCAACTTTCACTATCTAAAGTCCATGTAGATTCGTTATTATTATTTTTTTTCTTAACACGCTCCAACCAACTTGCTCCCCCTACCGGGCCCGCACGTCACACGAGAGAGTATGGTATTACTCGAGTATACCTTTATGAACTAGTCGAGGGATTCACCCAACGACGTCACAAAACTAGTCGAGGGATTCACCCAACGACGTCACAAAACTAGTCGAGGGATTCACCCAACGACGTCACAACACGCTTTTACCAAGTCAGGATAAGAGGCCCTCCCACCCTAAGGTGTGGTACATTCCCCTGCCTGGTAGATTAGTTGACGAGTCCACGTTCCAGTCAACAATTGCAAAATATTCGAGAAAACATTTCAAACAAGTCACCACTCGAAAGGCTAATGCGATAAAGTACACACCACCACTTCGATGGTTCAGGAAAACCACTTTCCAATTATCACATAACAAGTCAAGAAAGCACTTTAACACGTTTATCATAGAACAAGCACGGACACTCACCAAAAGTGAAGCTCAAAAGTCAAGCTGGGAATCGAAGTCCACGTCCTCGCTAAACCCTAGAAATCCAAGTTTTAAAAACTATAAGTTTTACTAAATAAACCCTTGGTTTATATCTATAAAAAAAATTATCCTGTATGAAACCAGTTTAATTCCTCGAAACAAATCAATAACTCTCTTGAAATTAAGGCTGGAAAAGGACTAAAATGTTTCGTGTGGTCTCTTTTTAAAGATATTTCCCTTCTAGAGGGCAAACTAGGACCAAATTAGTTCAAACAAGTTTTCTTGCTGAACAAGCTTTTTATGTCTTTTATCTGAAATTATTCAAATCCAGTGTTTTTAACAAATTTCTTCTAAAACAACTAGTCAAGGATAATTTCATGAAAAACTTAAAGTTTGGAAGCTAACGCAATTATTCCCTAAAGGTACTAAAACTAGGTTAAGCAAAGAAAAGCATTAGCTAGTCGGCAAGGTTTTAAAAGTCCCGATATCTAAATTTTAATATCAACATACTATATTCAATGTATATAACTTAATATTAAAGCAAAATATTTCCACAAGGCTTGATTTAAGGATATTTGAATTCAAAAGATTAAAATGCACTTCACGATTCCAATTCATTTGCACATTGTCTTCCAAGTTGCCAATATAGCTAAAACACAATTCAAATATAAATGTCACCAGGGTTTCATCAATCATTAGCCCTAGGTCTCAATAGATCCAGTTCCAAACAAAATTCAATAAAGAAAGTCCAAGGTATCAAAACAATCCAAAATGCAAACCATGGACCTTCCAAGCACATTTCAGTCAACCACTTGAACAAATTTACCAAAAATTAAATTCTTACAAAAACTACTCAAATGGCCAAGAGCTTCATCAATCATTAGCTCTTGACAACAAATACTCACTTTCAATCACAAATCAATTCAAAACAAGAAGAAAAACCACAACCAACTTGAATTCCAAGTGATTCTAAGAATTCAAATTTTCTTTTCTTGTTTCGATAGTCAAGAAAATTCCAGCAAATAAAC